TAAGTTCACCATTTTGGCGAAAATTAATGTAGAGCTAATTACATACGTGATTTAGTAGAAAATATTATTGTATGTCAATGTCAAAATGCCGCTTTTAATTTTTTTGTAGATAGCATTAATTACTAGAATCACCAATCCGTCGAGATTGTAATACAAAAGGTGATTCCGAAAATTAGTCCAGTAGCCGCCACTTTGTACCAAAATGTTAACATAACCGATTTCATATTTACTCAAATTCATTCTTACCAAACTCTGAAACAAAGACATTCAATTCTTTTTTTCCTATTCCCATATATAATTGTCAAAATTGGTCCGTTTTTAAGACTAACCTAAACAGTGCGTCAGCAACTAATCGTTTAGCAAATTATTCGTATTTGATAATCAACATTTTGTTGTTGTAAGTTCCGTGGTAATTTGAATAATGGTTCTCTCTTGGCTTTGTATCTTTTGCCTTCTAATGCATAAGTGTTTTGGAAGGTTTACTTTAGGACGAATTTGAGTGGCACCTACCATTTAGTGAAGGTCGTAAAGTCATCGAAAACAACGATAGACTACATCGAAAAAATCAAAGAAACAGTACTTGAAAATCATCATCAGAGATATAGCAGAGGATCCCGATATCTCTTATGTATTGACTGATCATATTTTGGTTAATATTTTGGGTATAAGCGTGTCAATGTGAGACTGGTGCCAAATGATCTGAATCTACGACATCTACGGTCGCAAAAACGATGCTTGACAATGTAGCCACCCTACATTCATCAAACGCATTATTACTGGTTACGAAACGTGGCTTTATGAATATGACGTCGAAATTTTCCTACTATCTCAAAAAATTAACCAAAATCGAAAAAACCACGACAAAGTCGTTCAAAAATCAAAGTTATGCTCATCGTTTTCTTTGATTACCGTGGTATCGTTCACCATAAAATCGTTCAACAGTGTAAAACAGTCAATTAAGAATTATACTGCCTTTTTTCTGCTTCCGTAAATCAAAAATCAACTTCGGAGAACGATGTTAGGCTACCGACTAAAGTTGTTTGAGATAATAGAGAGGAAAAATCTCAAAATGTACTATGAAACATTCCTTTTGGACAGAGAGGTTATGGCGAACATTTTCTGGGATTCAAAGATGTGATCTATTATATATCGACTACCTATAGAAAGCAAAACGGAATGGAAGACCTTTGTACTGAAGGTTTAGAACATTTCTATAACAGTTAAACTTGCAAGAGTTTCTATTCAAAACTATTTTTAGCATTTACGATGTAAATATTTACTATATAAGTATATAGATATGTAGATTGAATAGCCTGAACAGGGTACGCAATAACGAATATACCCGCATATAAATGATCAGCGTGACGAGCTTAGTCGATTTATCCATAACTCTCCGTCTGCCTGCATATACGCGAATTTGTCACGCAGTTGTTTGCGATATCGATCTGAAACTTAGCACACGTCTTTTCTCCCAAAGAAGCTGCTCATTTATCGAAGCGGCCGATAATGGACCACTATAGCATAAAGCTGCCATACAAACTGATCGATCAAAATTAAGATAGAGATCTACATTAAAGATGTTGACACTAATTTCCAATATCGAGATTAAATTACGTTAAACATATAACAATATGCCCAAATACTTGGCTTATCTATCATGCTGACCTATATATAGCATGGGATATAGATGAGAAGCTGTCTCTTAACTATTCACGCATCAAGCTACAACTACGCTTAATTACACAAATTTACACCACTACATTCACACACATACATACAGCCATTCAACTTGTGACATGAGATTAAATTAAATGATAAGTTGACACATTACACGACAACTTACAAGACGCTGTTGATACGCGCGAGCGACGCCGATGCTTGTCAAAGCACCCGCAACAAAACACAAGAGTCGACGCGCTAAGCAAACACAAACATAGATCAGCTACATAAGTACATTTATATACTAAGGTATTTATAAATACAAATATGTATATATACTACTTAACTGCATTAACGTGATAAATATGACAACAACTAAAACAATGCGCACGTCAGCGTGAGCCGTGGTAAGCAAACAAACAAGCAAACATTTGGTGATGATTCATTGAGATTACGCTTTAAATTGAATTCAATACAATTCAAATCAATTGCATTCAACACAATTTGCGTATGTTGCACGATTATTGTTGCAATACGAACAACTGCCATTATGTATTGTATGTGTGAAAGTACTTGCTATGTAATGTTATGTATGTTTGTATGTAGCTGCAGATTGTAGTAAAATTGCAATTGCAATTAAGCGCATTATTAATTGATAAGCATTTAAATGCCACACGCTGCGTATGCACACAAACACATGTACACTGGCGCGCGCAAAATATGCAGCAATATATTCACATGTTTGCTTTGCTTACCTAGTGGTGAGCCATGCCTATGTGTGTATGTGTGGGTGTGTACACAAAACTAAGTGAATTGTTAATGCTATTAAATCAACTGGCCAACAAAGCAACATTCATTTGATTACATACAAATACAAAAACAGCAAGTTATATAAAATTTATTGTAAAGTAATTGTGTAATAACTATTTATACTTACAAAAAGTACTTTTACTTTTAACGAGCGCAACTTATATTAAACAATTTTTTTATTTCACGGCACTCAAGCAAAGCAAAAAAGTCTTGCGAGAATTATTCATATGAAGAAAACTATAAAAGTTATAAAACGACTATGGAAAGAATTGTTATTGTCTACCTAATTAAGTGAGATCCACACTTGTGTGTCTAAAAACACAAATTTTTTTCATTTAACATAATTTTAAGAATTCTTTACAAACATTCGTTAACCGAAGCTATATTACCCTCCACAGGTGCTTTTTTCTTGCCAAATTTCGTGAAGGTATCTCGTCAAATGAAAAACACTTGATTTCGATCGTTCAGTTTGTATGAAAGCTTTATGTTATAGTGATCCGATTTAAACAATATGTTCGAAAGTGGGCGAAAGTGGGCGAACACGGCTTCATTTCTCAAGAAGTACCGACCAATGATTCCACCAGACCAAAAACCACACCAAACGGTCAATTTAGGTGAATGTAATAGTAGGTCATGAATAATTTGTGGATTTTCTTCGCACCAGAATCGACAGTTTTGTTTATTTAGCGCACCATTCAGATGAAAGTAAGCTCAATCGGAGAAGATGATTTTCTTAAAAAAAAATCATTATCGTTTTCAAGTTGTTCCAAGGCCAAATCAGTAAATTCACGACGTTTACCGGCCGAAAGGATATCTAGAAATTATATCATCGCTTTCGGAAAATCCGATATATCATAACAGAAATAAAGACATCGGAATATATATTTGCATAGCTAGATCCTTCAACTGTTAACGCATCATTTTTAGAAATTATAGAAATGGCTGTATAACCTTTTAAGCCCCCAGACACTGAATATGAAGACTTCAGTATCTAAGTCTGGCCATTCTACTGACCTTTCTTAAGACCCTTAACCTAACCTTTTTACCGAAAATATCACTCAATATGGAAAATATTTTAATGAGATTCAGACGATTTACTTCCAGAGTTCGTTTGTGCTACAAATAGATAAAATCTGTTTAGTAAATCCCCTAGCCTAGCCTGGCCTCTGCTGTTCTCTCAAATCGAGATATTGATACAATCAAAATAATGGATACGCATCTAATCAAACACGATATAGACTTTCGGAGACGTAGTAATTGTGCGATACTGGGTAAATGTAGATGAATAGTGAAACGCATTTATTAAAGTTAGATATCTGTAATACTCGACAATGTCCATTAAAAAAGTCGCCTTAATTACTTAGTAATTAAAGCAAACAACAATGTAAAAAATTAAGTAAACAAATTCAAATGCCTTAAATTTTATTTTTGTTTTAATTTTATGAGCTTCACACCATATAAAAAATAAGTTATTACTACTTGCCTGACTCCTATCAATCTTTCTAAACTACAAGTCAGCTACATAAATAAACGAGGGAAAGAGGGTCTAAATTCGGATGTAACCAAACATATTATACTCTTGCAATTTGCCAGAATCAAAAGCGGTGAAATACTTTCAGATGTTGACAAAACTTTATATTAAAGAATGTTGTATAAGAATTAAAAATTCAATACTCGACGGAGTCGTGAAGGGTATGATAATGTATATCATTAAGATTAACTCTAATATATACTCGCTTTGTTTCAGTAAAACATGTGGCTTCGCGCCCGAGATAATTATTTTGTATTAAAATCAACCTAAATGACTCAAACGAGATACTTTTAAACTTAACCATAGACGCTAAAGTTCAAAAATCATTAAATTAGGAAATAAAGCTTAGACCAAAGCCCAGACCTTGCCCCAGATAAACGGTTTAAAGTCAAATGGAAAGTCGGAAATCGTTTTAATCGGTATATTGTTGGTAGGCTAAGGTCTGAACATATTGCATTTACTTTGGCTTTAAACTCAAATATACTAGCGACTGATTTCCATCTTATTTTTTAACAATAATCATTAGTTACAGTAATATATCCAATAAGGTATATCGAAGCGAATGCCCGATTTAATCTTTTTTGGTAACAAGACTCAGTATTTTCAAGAAAAAACGCTCTCTGAACTTCATTAATATATCTCAAAGAAGGACCGCTATTTTAGGTAAAAAGCTGGATAAAATTCAGCAGTTTGTCAGTGAGATCTACATTTTCTGTAACTGGAGGCTTGAAAAGTTATGATCCGATTTCAACCAGTTTTGTGAACAAACTTAGTATACTCTGTTGCTGCATGTTGCTAGAGTATAAAAATATTTAATCAAGTAACAGCAAGATGCGCACTAAACTAAAAGTAAATAATTATAAAGATAACACTACTGAGTAGTAGGTAATCCATGGTGATTTATCGATACATTTTTATAAGAAACCATATAGATGTCTATTCGCATCTATGGTATATATAAGGGCATTTTGGGCTATTAGAGATAAAACGGGTATACGATACAAAGTAGGCGATAGTCTTTAAACAAGCGCCAACTACGACTAGCTGACATACATCAAATATATAGTGAATGGCTAAGAACGAGCTCTGAAAGTTTAATAATTCATTAAGCTGCAAGTCAAAATTTTACACACACGCAAGATGGTTCTGTCTTTTGTCTTTTTTTCCACGCTTTGCTTGCTGCTGATCAGCTTCCTACGCTACAAGTTTCAATATTGGAAGAAGCTTGGAGTGCCAGAGCCAACAACTTACTACCTTGGAAACTTCCGTCTCATAAAATCCATGCATAAAACGGAATTATTACGCGAATACTATCAAAAGTTTCGCGGTAAAGCAAAATTAATCGGCACATACGTTTTCACCAAACCCATAATCATTGTGTTGGACTTAGATTTGGTAAAAACCATACTAATCAAAGATTTTAACAAATTTACGGATCGATTTCAACGACGTAAGACCGATAAGCACGTGTTCGACATTCTTAATGAGACGCTCTTTCGCGTGAATGGCGACAGCTGGCGTCCACTGCGTACGAAACTTTCACCGACCTTTACATCGGCGAAAATGAAGTTTATGTTTCCGACGCTGGTGAACGTGGCGCATCAAATGGAAGAGGCTATCAACGCGCACTTAGCTAAGACGCCGAGCGGTGACATAGACACACACGATTGGATGGGGCGCTTTACGACTGATGTGATTGGTCATTGTGCCTTCGGTGTTGAGTGTAATAGTTTGAAGGATCCAAATGTAATATTTCGTCGCATAGGGCATCGCATTTTTTATCCAAAATATTTATCCATACGACTGCGTACTTTTATGATTTCGTATCCCGTCATCTTCAAATATCTGAAATTTTTCAATTTCAATGAATATGTTGGAGGTCTAGAAGAATTCGTATTGAAGCTGGTGCGTGATACATTGCGTTTGCGCGAAGAACAAAACGTACAGCGTAATGACTTCATTGATTTGTTAATTGAGATGAAAAATTCCAAAGATATGAAAGGTGTGCCCCCAATGGGTATTGAAGAAATGGCTTCACAAGTATTTGTATTTTTTGCTGCGGGCTTTGAGACCAGCTCTAGTAACTTGAGTTATGGGCTATTTGAATTGGCGAAGAATCCCCACGTGCAGGAGAAGTTGAGAGCGGAAATTAAAAGCGTTCTTGAGAAACATAATGGCGAATTGACCTATGAGTCTATGTTTGAGATGACATATTTGGATCAAGTTATAACAGGTAAGCCGACTCTTCAAGCTGTTGATTGATATATATACTTTATAAGATCTCTGACATTTCCTTTCGGGTGTTACAAACGTCGTGGCAAACTTAATATACACAGTTCGGCGTACAAATATCGCTATGTTTCATATATATTTCCAATAATTTCTTATTGAGTTAACATCTGAATTGCCTGTGAATGCAAATACATAGTTTTTTATTTCGCTTTCAGAAACACTTCGCAAAAGTCCAGCATTCGCCGCTATCACTCGTGTCTCCAATGAGGACTACAAAGTGCCCGATACTAACATTACACTCGAGAAGGGTACACATATCTATATACCGGCGATAGCAATACATTATGATCCGGATATCTATGATAATCCCGAAGAATTTCGCCCGGAGCGCTTCCACCCTGAAGAAATACAAAAGCGTCATCCACAAGCCTTTCTCGGTTTCGGTGATGGACCTCGAAATTGTATTGGCCTCCGCTTTGCTCGTATGCAAGTGCGCATCGGGCTAATAACTTTGCTCAAATCTTATCGCTTTAGCGTATCGGAGAAGACACCACCACAATTAGAGATTTCGAAAACTTGTTCAGTACTTGTGCCAGGTCGGAAGATTTGGTTGAAGGCAGAAAAACTGTGAAGTTCAAAAATGTATTGTTTTTTTGTTGTGTGAAAATATCAAAAAGGCAGAGAGAAAATGATCTTCAAAAAAAGTATGTTCCTACTTTTTAAAAATTTAGCTAGAATTTGTAGTAAATAAAATAGTGCATTAATAATGAAAGCATGTATTGTATAACATATACGAGTACTTTTACTTAAAATTATTGTCTTGAATTGAATCTTGTCGCCTACTTAAAAATAAAAATGTATGCATTAATTCAAATAGAATAAATATATTTGATTTTTTATGTGAGTTTCTTATAAGCTGCTTGCTATTTAACATTAACTTTAGTCAAAAATCTGAATCAGTGATGGTTCTTGCACAATATTGCCTAAAAAAGCTCTAATAAGTTTACATTTCATTTATATAAGCAAAAGCTTTTGCAGTTAAAGCTCTCAAGCGCGTATTTTCTGGTATCGCTTTTTCCCTCTAATATATGTTCTT